CAAACGTGACATTCCCCGAGACGACGCCGCCGTCGGGTGGACCTGTGTGACTGCTTCGTATTTTACGACGCCGCCGTCGACGTCGACCGCAACGCGCGTTTTTTGCTCAGTGTGAATGCGCCTTTACGGTACAGATAACACGATCACGGTCGTACGCCCGCGTACCGATCGTTGCACCGTGTACGGTACGACCGCGAAGAAAATATAAAGGAAAACCTGTAACTTTACTGCTGTGCACTTATTAAAACTATCACCCAATATTCAAAGGGCTCGTTTTGTAGGATATATGTGATTAGCATTTGTACAGAAATGTTTAATTCATGAAACATTTTTAAACAAAAAAGTATTCAGAGCCTTGATGCAGAAGGCTGTTGCTCACTCTGTTGCCACTACAGATAATCCTCAGTCATAACATCAGCTGTAAAAAACGGATGATAAGTGCTCGAAATGCACATTCAATGTTTGTATAAAAAAACAACAACCTCTAATAAAAAAAATAATAAAAAAAAGTGTGTGGGCATGGGGATTCGAACTCTCCACTACCGCGCCCTTACGAGCTCAAGAAATCGGCGCTCCAATCAACTGAGCTATAGAGTGGACGACATTTGGCTACGCTAAACACCGATTTATTTCTGTTGAAAAAGTCCGATTGCGTTTTGTTTTTTATTCTTTTTCTTATTTGCTGACTCAAACTTTACGGACTTGCTGTCACACATGGCGCTCCTGCCAGGCACTGCCACAATTTATTTTCTTCATGTTTGGAGCCATGGCAGGCTCTCTCCGCCAGCGAAATAGCCGTTTTGCTAACCAAGCGAGACTGTCCATGTCGGCCATTGGTCGTGCCGGTCGTGCCTTACGGTTCGACCAGCGCATTACGGTAAGATCGCAGAAGACAAGCGCATGCGCAGTTCGTATACCGGAGGGCCCATCGTACCTTATTGGATGTGCAAGGACGGTTCCCTAAAACTCTCTTGTGTCTCCGGCTCGCCGCTCGGAGCACCTTTTGTACCGGCGAGGATTTCTGGAACATTCGGCCTAAAACATTCGGCGTGTAGAATATCCGTAACTCGGTGAGACGAGAAGGTTCTCGAACTTGCGAGAATAACAAGTAGAAAGAATAAAAAAAAGACACGGTCGCTCCCAGGAATCGAACCCTGGCTTTTCGCGCGGGGGACAAGAACGATAACAGTTAGGCCACAGTCCCGCTGCCTACTTCGCCAGCTGCGCGCGCGGCAATCTAGCTTTTTTTCTTTCTTTTTAACGACATTTTTTTTTTTTGCGAAAATAGGTCCCAAGGGTAAAAAAGCACTTTTCTCTTTTTTTTTTCTTTTTCTGTTTATTTTTTTTCTTTCTTTTTTTTTTTCTGAAAGTTATGAAACGAGACGGGTAAATAAACACCTTTTTGAGTAGGTGAATATATTTTAAATTGCCGAAGAGGTTTTTTCACGGATTTCCAAGTGTCTGAATGCGGCACCGCAAGGAAAAATAAGAGTGTTTCTAAAGGGCACGAATGGGACACGTATTTCTTAAAAGAAAGTTTCCAAAAATGATAATTTTTTTCGCGCAATGTTTTTCCAGTTACATGAAATATAGCTGGGTGTCACAACCCGCTCTAAACGACAACTACAAATTAAGGGCCCCACAATTACTACTGGACTAACTGCGCTTGTCGACCGAACAGGTTAACAAACGTAGTTTCTTTCTTTCGTGTCATCCTATTCGCCTAGCATGAAAGCCTAATACCATCTGGTAGTCGTGTAAGCAGACGAGCGGCACCCTCCGGCATCGTCTGCTATTTCACCGCCGTCTATCGTCATCTGGAGTGCCGCAAGGCGTGGACACAAAAGCTTGGCTTCGGCGACCGTTTTCTCCTCCGACCGGTTGCTATTCATCCGCCGCCTAAAAAAATTCTGCAGCGCTCACAAGAGGCCACCGTGAAAGCGGCGTTCTGCCGTTCCATCATGCACGAGCCACAGTCCAATGCAAGCGTTTGTCAGCGTCTATCGATGTGCGTAATAACTAACCGAGAAATAAAAGAAAAGGCGATCTTTTTAGCTTTATTGTTCTTGTTTGTTTTTTCATATGGCATAGGCGAGCAGGGTGGGTGAGCGCCATGACGCACAATTAAAACGCGGCGTAAACATATTAGCTTCGGGAAGCCAAATGCAGTGCAAAACTTATAACCTTGACATTTGGTGCACGATGAAGGAAACATACCTAGACAAACTTCATGCGAGACCAACGCCCGATTTCCTCCAACCAAATGGCTAGCAGATTCTTACCTGTATGTGTGTCTTCTCCGTATTGAAACCATGGTCGCCATCACGATGGTTTCAGAATTCACAGAGCAGCGGGGCCGCTTTTGCGGCAACCAAGATCTTTATTCAGCGTCAACAAACGCAAAGAAAGCAATGAAGCCAGATTGAGCAAACTAGTTGATGTTGTTGTTGACATTGGGAGGCCCAGAGTTCAAATCCTGGCTCCGTTTGGAGGACGAATGGAGCATTGAGATTAGGAAGCCACAGAGATGCAGTATCCGCAATAGCAGTCGCTAACGCTTTAAACGCTTGTTCCTGAGCGGAAGACCAGGTCCATGGAACCTCCCGGCGTAATAGCTGGTGAAGGGGCCGGGCCAAATCAGCGCAGTTAGCAATAAACTCGCGGTAGAATCCCACCATGCCAAGGTACCGTTGTAAACCTTTTTTTGTCTCGTGGCTGGGGAAATTCTATAATTGCTCTGAGCTTCTCTGCTTGCGGCTGGAATGATCCTTGGTCGACCACGAAGCCAAGAAGCTCCACTTTGGGTGATGCAAGTTGCACTTTTGACGGGTTAATTGTGAGACCAGCTTCACTTATACGCTTCAGGACGACCTGCAAATGGTGAAGGTGGTCTTCGATAGTATTAGAAAACACTACTACGTCGTCCATGTAGGCCATTGCATAGTTAAACTTTGCATCACCCAAGACTGTATCCATGAGCCTCTAGAAGCTCGCAGGGGAGTTAGATAGGCCGAAGGGGAGTTGGACAAATTCGAACAGACCCCTGGGGGAACAAATGCTGTCTTAGGGACGTCATCTCTTGCTACGGGAATTTGCAAAAATCCTCTACTACAGGCGAGGGTTGTGAATATCCACGCAGACCCCAGTGCATATAAAACAGACGAGACTGATTGAAAGGAGTATGCATCTCGCTTCTTGACCGCATTCAAAGGACGGTAATCTACGCAGAGGCGTGCGGTGCCATCTTTCTTGGGTGCTAACAAAACCGGAAAAGTCCATGGACTTTTTGAGGGACGGACGGCTCCGGTCCGGATCATCTCATTCAGTGCTCCGTCCAGGAGTGTGCGTTTATGAACACTTAGGGGCCGCGCGTTAAATCGGAAAGGCGGAGTGTCTCCAGGATCAATTCGGTGTTCAAGGATGTTAGTCTTCCCAGGTGTTTCTGTAAACATGTGTGAAAAATTCTCCAAAAGCTTCGCTATACGTGAACGGTCCGAGTCGGTGCCAGAAAATGACCTCATTGCCACGTGCTGATACCCCGATGAGGGGAACTTCTCACATAGTGTACTCTCTAGAGGAGGAGCTTCCGTAGGCATTGGTTTGACTGCAAACTTGAAAGTAGCGGACTGCGATCCATATCGATATTCTTCTGCTGACAAATCTAGGACTATTTTTTCCCTGCAGATGAAATCTCGACCGAGAAGAATAGGGCAGGCGAGACCCGGCAGATATGCGAAATGTTGTCGACATTGCCGTCCATCAAAGCTCAGCTTCAGTCGAGCTCCTTCAGTGGCGCAGCTCTCTCTGAGAACGCAGCATTGAGATGTTCCGATCTTTGCACAATTTCCTAACGAAGTCTCCAAAAAGTGAAATTGCAGCTCCGGTATCCAAGAGAGCTGCGATCTGTTGACCGGCAATGTTAACCACAATGTAGGGCTCTGCTGTGCCTCTACTTTCGTGACGCTTAGCGTCAAAGGATGGTATAAAGTAGGTGACTGGACGGAACCTATAAATTCGAAGTAGCTTGTCATAGACTTTCAGCCGACTCACCCATGATACCATTGTCGCTAGGATTCCCATGGTCAATGAAATGCTGAGGATTGTCACGTCTCGCAGACCCGCCCAGGTCACCGTTCGGTGGTGGGCACAGGGGTCCGGTTGGATTGCACGTGCCATACACTTGTCTACTGGTTCTCCAGCAGGCCGCGCTGGTGTGGTCGCGTCAGCCGTTTTTCTGGCATGTGGATGGACGACGGGCGGCCACGCCGCTGCCACTTCCTGCGAGCAGCCGTTGTCGTCACGTCTGTTCTCCGGAGTCGTCTCGTCGGGGACCAGGACGCCACTAAGAACCACTCCGTGGGAAGCTTCGAGGAAAGCACTGGTGCTGGTACTACCGGGGGCATCTCCGCGAGCGCCGCCGAGAGCTTCACCGCATAATCCGTGAGCGGGAGCATCATCGGGCCCTCGAGCGGGCGCCACGCCGGGACCTGGGACATCTCCGCGAGCGCCTCCGAGAGCGTCACCGCGTAATCCGTGAGCGGGAGCATCATCGCGCGCTCGAGCGGGCGCCACACCAGATGCTGCGACATCGGGCTCATCAGAGGAGGCTTCCAGCGGGGCTACTAGTGAGGCTGGGCCGGGACTGCTGAAGAACCGAGACGGTGGGGTGACCGAGGGCCTGTAGCGAGGAGAAGCCACCGACAGACAGGGCCCTGCTATCGGCGGTCTACCTCGTTTCCCGAGTTGTCGTTCGAAACCCGCCGGGTGCAGTCCCGGCGAAAGTGGCCGAGACTTCCGCACCGGAAGCAGCGGAGCGGAGCTGAAATGGCACTTGGGTATCGCTCTTTGGGTGGGGCTTGGTATTGGCGGCCACGCGCGCGGACTTGAGCGCCATCGCCCAGTCCGTGGGTGTAAGAGTCCAGCGCTCGGGGTACCCTTCCGGGGAGAACTGGACGTGAGCCATGCTCATCCATGGATTGCCTGGTCGTGCCTATCCAGGCGCAGGACGGTTCCAGGCAAGCCTCCGGCGGTGGCGGAGGCCGATATCTTAGTTCGGCCAGGACGTCCGCCTGGATCTGGTGGGCTGCTTGGGCCAACTCGTCCAAACTCCGGAACACCCGCCCACGCAGGTAGGGGTGAAACTGCGGGTGGCTTTGCCGCATAGCCCGCGACACCTTGTCTGAGTCGGACGCGCTAGGGTCAGCCCTGTCATACAGAGTTTGGAGCGCCCGAACAAATTCGACTAGGGACTCGTCGCGGTGCTGAGTGCGCGCCCTAAGCTCATCGAGCATTCGCGCGCTGTAATCGGGAGGCAGAAATTCATTTTTGAACTGCTTCGAAAAGTCTTGTAGCGTCGAAAAGGGTGGTTGTCTCCGACGCCATGTCGCGGCGCTTCCCGTGAGGGCGATCGGTAGTACGCGTGATAGAAGTTCAACCTCAGACATTTCAGACACCGCCCGGTATTCACGCAATTCGTCAAGAAAATCGGCAACCCATTTTTTATCCGCGTTGCCTGAATATTTCGGAATCTCGGCATGTAAACGCAATGTCCCCGTCCGAGGTGTTGGAACGGGGGGTGGTAGCGGACGGCGTTGTTCCTGCAGGAGCCGCGACATCTCCGCCAGGAACAATGCCATTTGTTCTGGCAATGGGCCCAACGCGGTGAGAGGTGCAAGCGGCACCGGTGGGGAAGGGCCCTCAGCGGGCAACGAAACCTCCGAGTCTGCCGTAGGTATATCAGAGCCCGGTCGCGAGTCCTCCGCTCTATCACCAGTCGCGGTAGCCCGAGCTGTGTTCGCTGCATTGGAGCGGCTATGGGATCGCGTAAGCGGGGGCAAATTTGACATTCTAACGGTCACAATAACAACCTCGGCAGTGAAGTACTCCAATGTCCGTATAGGCTCAGCGACTCCGAAGGCCAGCCAAACGTACCTGGCTGTACTGGAACCTGGGTTCGGGCCCCACGTTGGGCGCCAATCTGGAGACTCAAGAACAGACAACCGTTTCGCTGGTGTCCATACCCCTTCTAACCCGCGCTCGTCCTGAGCGCGCGCTAGCTTGACCCGCTTAACGAGCCATCTTTACTCTCGTCCTTTTCAATTCCCACAAACTCTAGGCTTAGTCCAGTCCCAATACGAGAACAAGCATCCACACAGGGTTCCCGAAGACGCGTACTTACGGCAGTTGTTTGTTGCAAACTACGTCGGTTGAGGAGATCTTCCTCTATCTGTGAACTCAATATCACTCGCACTTACATCAATTGACGAGCTCAACGAGCTTCGCTCGTTCAGCGCTCTGCAGACGCTGGCAGCAATGTTTGATAACGTTTCAAACGAAAGCGGGAGAGGCAATCTCAGAATATACATGAAAAAAATTATGACTCTATTTTGATTATTTCCCTCCCTGACATAAAAAATAATTAATTAATAAATATTACGGCCCGGCGATGCAAATTTATAACCAACTTTTCACATCTCTCCAGCCAGTGAGAGATGTATGCACCTTGCAAGCAAGCAAGGGGCATGGCTGGCTGTGACCTCCACCTTCGTCATCTAAATTGCGTCTAATGGCGTATATACTCCACGATCTTTTTTTTTTTTTTGGGGGGGGGCGGGGGGGGGGGGGGGGGAAGGGTAAACGTTATTTAAGTTTTAATCCACGCTGTGAAGGTGGTAGGACATGACGCTGTGGCATCACCTGCAACAATTTCCCGCTGTACTGTCGGCCCTTTATCTGGCAAACGCCAACAGGCGTTGGTGTTTGCTAGATAAACTACTGATTTTTAGAAAGAATGAAAGAAGGCCATCTAAGCACAGCTGCTTGAAATGAAGGTGAAACGTTTAACCACCAATTTGTTTGGTGAACGCCCAAAGGACGAAGGTTTGCGAGTTCTGTTAAAATATTTCTAGTGTTCTTGTAAACCAACTTGGTCTCCTCCAAGATGTAATATTGTACAGCCGGAGGCCCTCATATATCTCCAACTTTATTGCCCGTGTAGCATTTATGCTTTTGTAGCACTGGTAACGACCTCTACAGGCTTGCAAAGACGGTGCGACCGGAAGTCGCTTCGGACGCAAGCGGCAGTTCTTGTATGTAAAAAACAAAAGGGTCTGTACCCTTTTGTTTGTATGTAAAAACAAAAGGGTCTGTACTAGCGAAAGAAAAGTAAATGCACAGTACCAAAACCTTTTTATACGTATATGAAAGAATTCGTACGCTGCCACTGCCGCGGTAGCTTATGCAACCGCGATATTTACTGCGAAACACATGCGGAGAGCGCTACGTGCTTCGCATTGTTAGCGGGATAGTGAAGTCACTCCCCACTTTGTACTCTGCCGTTGTCGGGGCAGCTTATGCAACTGGAATCTTTACCGTGAAACGCATGTAAGAAGCGCAACGTGCTAATCATCTATCACGTGGTTTAGACACTTTTTTGTGGTTTTCTTATTGAAACGAGTGTCCCACATGATAAGAGATAATGCGCTCACGAATGGTAATAAGCCGCTCGCCTGGCTTTTCTGTCGACTATTTTATCGGTCGACTACTGTTTTGTCGACCGAGATGAAAACACCCGACCAACGAGTCATATATAGCGTCGCTGTAAAAATACTTATCCCAATTATGCCCTTTTAAAAAACTTTTTTTTCTTGCTGTGTTACTTTAAGGGCGCGGAAGCGTTAAAAATGTCCCAAAAAGCTAACATTATTTTTTTCTTTTCGCTGTGTCCAAAGGTACGTCGAACGTACCCGGAACGAGGAGCCTTAAGGTACATGCGGACGTTCGCAGAAGCGGAAGATACGTCGGCCGTAGCCGCGATGGGGAAGGGTCGTATCACAGCGGGTCTTACCGTGCCTTACTGAGATACCCCCTGGAAATTTTCATTCCATTTTTATTTCTCATTGCTGCCGTATTAGTCCATTCTAAGCACTCCTTTCTTTTCACACCCGCGATGCTCAAGGTGTGTGTGTGTGTGTGTGGGGGGGGGGGGGTATTTACATTCGGGAAATGCTCCAAAATTACATGATCTGAGCAATAAATATCAATTTATTATAGGAAAATGATAATATAAATGCGCCAGAGGAAATAAAACCATGCCCTGCAGCGAATTAGCCCAGCTCACCATCAATTCTTACCGCGCACCACGGTCAACCAGTTGCCCGTACAACGACTGGACGAGTCGTCGGTGGCCCCGTCCAGATAGCTGCATACAAATTAGTGGATATTCTTCTCGAGTTCCGGATGTCAACTTTTGCATTATTGCGCGGTCCCGTGCACTTTTTGCGGGTCGCGGCGCCCTCGAATACTTACTCCCGCTGTCTTCTTCACCGTATCACACGGTATCGCAGATGCTCTGCAGTGCCGTGGTTCCCGTTGTATTTCGTATACGCGATCACCGTTCGCTCTAACTTCACTGTGTATACAAGGTCCTCTTCGCGCGCATCGTAGACAGCAATGTTCTGAACGCCTTAACAAATTGCCTGAACCAAGTAAACAAAAAAGAGGCAAGTCTGCAAGTTAGACGACGCAGTCGAAGGAACGGTGATGAAACAGAAACAGAGCACACAACGCCTTACTTCTGCCTATATTCCAACGCTCCTGCGCGGTAGCGCAAGTGCCGTTGTGAAATTGGGAATTTTTTTTTTCCTTTATTTGTTCGCGGATCTTTTCCGCGTAGGGGGGCAGAGATAAAGGCATGGTGCCTGACGGAGCCTCTGCCCCCCTTTCAGTTCAGCAACACAATATATACAGTTTACAAAATAAGAAACTATTTAACAAATATAAAACAACTGTGGAACAAATATGACAAAGCTCTGGAACAACTATGGAACAAATAAAAAGCAACACTAGACATACAGAACATCAGTCACGCCACTGTTACGAGATTACCAAAATGCACAAAATCTTTAGGATCAAACTCTCTAGGTATTGCTTTAAAAAAAAAAAGCCTGTTCTATCAACAACAACAAAAAGAACAAATTCAACAGTTTACAAAAAGGACATTTGATCGAATAAACTATATGTTGGGCAATCCTAAACCGCAGAGCACATTATACAATTGAATATGTAATGTAATTCAACACCAGCATCTTTCTGCAATGTTTTTTGAAAGTATATAGCGCTTGATCAAAATCCAAGTCTATATCTGTTCTGTTTAATGTTCTAGTTATCTGATAAGTTAAGGTTTGCCGACCGTAGTTCGCCCTTATAGCTGGCATATTTCGTTTTGGATCTCGTAATGTGTATGGATTCAAACTATTAGTTGGTGCGGCGTGAAGCTTGTTTACCTGTATCCATTGGAAGAGTTTGAAATAATAGATCTGGTCTGCCTTCAGCATATTATATTTGATAAATAGTGGTTGTGTGGGTAGATCCCCTTTGGGCTTGGGAGTGGGCTTGGCGGCAGCACAACCGGCAGCATGCTCAGCAACCCATTTTGTTTCCTGGTACAGGTCGTATCAGTTCTACTCGGACACCAAACGGCATCGTATGGCTGCTTTCAAGCGACAAGTCCCGATAGGTACGACGGGCTTGGCTCCGAATCTTCTGCTCTGGGCGATCGCTGCGTCATCGTCGAGCCTTTCGTGCCCCTCATCAGCGAGTCTTCGTTTGTGTCGACATCGGTGACGTCCCATCACGTGGTTCGCCTGAAAGCTACAAGAGCGCCAGCGACACCGGACTCTCTCAGTGGGCTTGGCGGCAGCACAACCGGCAGCATGCACAGCAACCCATTTGTTTCCTGGTACAGGTTAGTGAATATTTACCTTGTGGCGGTTATCGAAGTGATAACCGTTTTTTAGTGCTGCTGCCTTGCCAACCTTGCCAACTTACTGTAAAACGCTTGATAAATTTTGCTACTTCTGTTATTTCTTGGCCGCGAAATTTGTTGGTCTGTGGTGATGTGGAGGCAAATCCAGGATCCACCGATAGAGAGCTTTTGTTGGAACTTCTTGCCGGCCAGAGCAAGATGAATGATACTTTTCTAAATGTTCTTGCCTCTCAAAATGAAATTAACAAAAAACTGACTGCGTTAACTGAACGAATTGATGGGCTGGAGCGACAGGTAACCGGTTTAAACGCGGTGACCAAGCAAATAAAAGACATGGAAGCAGCAGTATCAGGATTTGACGCACAATTATCTTCACTCAATGCTAAAGTAGATGATTTAGAAAACACAAGCCGCAGAAATAATTTGATATTTTTATGGTATAGACGAGTCTAATACTGAGACAGTTGAAGAGCTTGAAGAGAAGGTAAAAAACGAGGTTTTTCTACAAAAACTAGGAATAACAATCACCGGAATTGAGAGATGCCATCGGCTTGGCCGAAAAGTTGAAAACAAGCCCCGTCCAACTATCCTCAAGTTCATCGATTACCGGGAAAAATTAGCAATATTAAGGTCATCTTATAAATTAAAAGGCACTAAGGTATTAATATCTGAGGATTTCTCAATCAGAGTTCGCGAAATTCGAAAGCATTTATGGAAAAGTGCGGTTATAGAGAAAGAAAACGGAGCAAAAGTGAAACTAGTTTATGATAAGCTGAATGTGGACGGTGTGCTGTTTGGATGGATGAAGGGAAGGGTTCACGCTTCAAGATAAGCAAAACAGATAAATGACGGTGTAGAAGTGCTTCTCGG